CCCACCCCACCCCACCCCACACACACAATACACACACCAAACACGCGCGCCCGCACGAACACTAAGGCCTGCACTTTCTTCCGCACAAAACAACGTACAGCACTCACCGACCCCCACGTCTCATCCGGAACAGGTCCCCTTTGTTGTCTCCCGAATTTCACACATTATTCTTATTTCTTTTCTGCACAGTTATCAAAAACGTCAGTTCGTTTTGGGCACAATACGAAGCACCCTCTCAACCTTTCGCTCCATTAGAACAACATCTTCGTATCTCCTCCACCAATGATTAGATCCACACGAACTCTCTCTTTCTTTCAGTTTCTCCATTTGTTTCTCTATTAGTAATGTTGTTCTTTCCATTAGGCCATGCCTTGCATTCTCTCTTCTTCATGATCCCCCAACTCCAAACCTCTCTTTGTCTCCAACGCATTTACAGCGAGATAACCAACCACTCTATTTAACTACTCCCTAAGCAAGTCAGTATAAACATGGACAATAAGCGGAAAATTATCAATAAAATGAAACAATAAGAATAAATAGGGACACTAAAAGATATATAAAGGTCCTTATACATATAAATGAAACTTACGCTCTATTTTAAACACTCACCGCCCTCCCCCTAGCCTCTAAATTTAACACAAAGTAAGCGAAAATATGCTCATAAATACACTTATTAACGATATATAAAAATAATAATAAGATTCATACACAAAAAATGTACACAAACAAATCGAACACACAACCGTTAGCAGATATTTTGAAGAATTTTAAAAATGTAGCAAAGAAAAAGATAAATTAGGCATATTATAAACAAACAAATAAACAACAAAACAAAATATTGAAGCCTCTGAAGACACTTCTCAGTCCCACCAACCAATAATTTTTCTCTCTAACCCTTTCTCTCCCTTTCCTTCGTTATCCCAATGGTGTCAACAGACCGACAGAAAACCCCCGGGGGGACACATCCTTCCTACATGCTTGTCATAGCTGTGGTCGATCAGCGAGGGAGATCAGAAGGTAAATCAGCGGACATCTTGTCCTCTCAGCTGTCATACAAAGCGCCCTCTAGCCCTCCTCGAGGGATGGGCACGGGTCAAGGTCGTCGTGTAAGCCAATCGCCAGCGTAGAATGATTGCGGGTTTTTGTTGTTTTTGTTTAAGCTGTGTCCATTCATTAATCTTTCAGTTCAGACTACGTCGTGTAGGTGTGCGTGCGCGCGCGCGCGCGCGCGCGCGTGTGTGTGTGTGTGTGTGTGTGTGTGTGTGTGTGTGTGTGTGTGTGTGAATGTGTTTGTGTGGAATGTATATGAAGAAATAATATGTCGCACGCACGGACATATGTTGGCATTCATGGGTGTGACAGACAGAAGAGAGACAGATAGCTAGTAGACAGATAGATGGATAGATCTCATGACTGCCTAAACAGAATTTTCTTTTATGTAGAAAAGAAAGCAATTCCAGACAATCATCATTCAGGTTAAAGATCTGTATCTCCAGCTTCAAAGACCTGAAAAGCAAACGATACGAGATCTCTTCAGTGGCCAAAAATACTACAAAATATAGACAGGAGAATGCGGCTCTTATGAGCACCCAAAACCTGTTATTAGGATCACGTAATATAAGAATTAATCGAACCCACTATTTTCAATTACGTTTTGCTGGCTCGTGCGCGAGTCTACTCCGAGTCGGACATGTTCTCAAGAACATATTTTTTAAAAAGAAATATGTGTTTAATTCTAAAGTTTGGCGCCCGATCCTGTGAGATCCGAGAGCTATTTTTGATGTCTCTGAGAGATTGTTCCCGCTTAGGCAAACTGCCATGACGTAAGGGCTTAACAGACGTCTTTTTTTTTCTCAGACCAATTGGCTGTCTGTTGCTGTTTTCTCTTGCTTTGATTCTTCGGGTTAATTTTTTCAGCTTGGGGTATTTGGTGTTGGTTTTATAATATTTAGTTTTGATCGATTTTGTTTTGTCTTTTTGTGTCATTTTAAATTTAATT